GTTGGCAGTCCGCCGCCAAAAAAGTTCCGACTTCGGCGTCCAAGGTGCCTGCGTCCTTCCCACCCGTCCTTACTATAAATTTCCATTGCGTCCAGAAACGATGGCCAGGCGAGTTTCAGGAGGAGAAAAAACACACAGACACAATGAATCGTCGATCCCCCAGAAAATATGGGAAAATATGGGAATTGGGCGGGAAGACAAAAACCTAGAAAATATAAGAAAATAGGGGGAATCTGTTTATTTGTGTCGATTTCTTTGTGTGTCCCAGATCCCCTTCAGAGTTGCTCGAGTCGAGGCAGTGTTGAAGTACGCAGTGCAACGGGCCGCCGTGCAAGCGCATCGGGGGCGCAGAAACGGCGGGAGCACGTGCTGCATCATACAACACAGGCTCCCCTGCTGCGCTGCTATTGGTAAGGGTCCCCATAGGGTCAGGAGGGGAAAAAACACACAGACACAATTAATCGTCGACTCCCAGGAGAATATGGGAAAATATAGGAAGTGGAGGGGAAGACAGAAACCCAGAAAATATAGGAAAATATGGGGAATAATTTTATTTGTGTGTATTTATTTGTGTGTCCTGGAGCCCCTTCATAGGGGCGGTCTTGGATTTCTCTTGGGACCTTCTCGGGGCGGGGAGGCGCTGTTTTGCAACAGGAGGAGGTAGAACAAATTTGGGCGGAGGAGGACGAGAAGGAAGAGGAGGAGACATAGAAGACTGGAGCCCAGGTGTGCTGGCTTGATAACAGTCGTGTCTGAGAGCGCATCAGAGATTGGAAACATATACTGGGTCATGCGACACATGTTCCCATGCCATGGCGGCTATGTGTCAAGGGAGGAAAATCGACCCGGACCAGACACTTTGCATATACTAAACGGCCTTGGGCGTTTAGCAAACAGCCCTGCCCTGTTTGATTCCTCCTTTGGGTGTGTTTACTATACGGCTTCGCGTGTCGGGATGGTTATGATCGGGGTGGATCTTCTGCCCTCTAATGCGGGTCCGCGGTGGCATTTCGTTGATACTATCTGTTTCAACAGGGCATGCTCTCGGCTGGCGCATGAATCTTGGGAGCAGAAGGGAGCACAAGAGGAAGTGGAGGAAGATGGTGAGGAGGAGGAAAAGGTTATGACGGAGCTGGAGGATCCTGATGAGCAGGCGGGAGAGGAGGAGGAGGAGGAGGAGGAGGAGGAGAAGGAGGAAAATGAGGAAGAGGAGGACGAGGAAGAACAGGAGGAGGAGCAGGAGCAGGAGGAGCAGGAGGAGGGGGGACGAACTGGAGGAAGGAGGAATGAGGAGGCTCCATAGCCAGCAAAAGAGGCGGCCTCTCTTTGCAGGGTCCGTGCAGGGGGGGGATGCCTGCAAAGACCCTGCAAGGCGAAAGTTTTGGTCTTGGAAGTCTCTTGGAGCGTTCTTGGGCTCCATGGCTCAAAAAGGAGGGGGTCCTCAATAGAGGTCCCCCCCCCTCGGAGGCTCGAACAGAGTGTCTTAGGGACCCTCTTGGGGCGCTCTTGGGGCGCTCGTCGGCCCTCTTGGGGCCTTCTCCGGGCCCTCTCCAGGCTCTCTTGGGCCACCTCGACGCCTCAAAAGCCCATCGGAAGCGAGGAAGCTAGAAGGTACAGCACATTGATGTTCCCTAGGGTTTTGAAGGATGTTGGTCTCTTGGGGGGCGCCTTGGAACCCCGATGGGTACATGGAACCGTCTTGGGGCTGTCTTGAGGCCTCTTGGATGTGTGTCTGAGGATGTCTTGACTCATTTGGAGCTATCATGAACCATGTTTGAGGCCAGCTTGGGCTCTGAGGCTCTCTTGGGACCATCTGAGGCCATCTTGGACGCTCTGACCGCTCCGTTCCCCCCCCGCTCCCAGGCCCAGGGGAGGGGGCAGGGGGGGGGAACCCCTCCCCCGAGCAAGGGAAGCAGGGAGCTTTGGCAAAGAGAAGACAAAACTCGTTAAACCCCCTACGCCCAGAGGGCTGGTGGGATTTGGGTTTTTTCCTGGACCTGGCGGCCTCAGCCTCCGGAGGCCTCCGTGAAGCAGTGGCACCACTCGCGGCACCAGCGCTTGGATGACGGAAGACAAGGGGAGGAGGAGGAGGAGGATCGGATGTGGTTGAGACGAGGATAAATCCGTTCCATAGCGGTCCGGAACGCTCTCAGAGCGTTCTGGAACGCTTTGAGAATGCCACGGCGCCCGAGACTTCTTCCAGAGCCTCCAGATCTCATAGATTCTCGATCTATCCTCACCCGAAATTTTCATCGTCCTGGTTTCGCCAGAGAGGTGGAGGAGATGGAGGAGGAGGAGGAGGAGGCGGAGGAGGAGAAGGATGAGGCGGAGGAGGAGGAGGAGGAGGAGGAGGAGTGAGGAGGAGTGAGGAGCAGCGAGGAGGAGCGAGGAGGAGTGAGGAGAGAGAGTAAGAAAGCGGAGGAGGAGGAGGAGGAGGAGGAGGAGGAGGAGGAGGAGGGTGAGGAGGAGAAAAGGAGGAGGAGTGAGAGGGAGTGAAGAGGAGTGAGTGAGGAGGAGGAGGCGGAGGAGGAGGAGGGGTGAGGAGGAGAAGGAGGAGGTTGCGGAGGGGGAGGAGTGAGGAGGATGAGGGAGGGAAAGGAGGAGAGCGAGAGGAGGCGGAGGAGAAGGATGACGGTGACGGGGGGCCACTAAGGGAGAATTGAGGCGCCGTCGCGCGAAATGTGCGTCTGCATTGTTCGCCGGTCTTCGCGACTCCCCTCTGGCCTTGAGGGCTTCTACGAAGGGTTTAGGCGACCCGTCCTCCTCCTCTTCCTCCTCCTCCTCCTCCTCCTCCTCCTCGCTCTCCTCCTCCTCCTCCTTCCCCTCATCCCCCTCCTCTCCTCATCCTCCTCCTCCTCCTCATCCTCCTCCTCCTCCCAGCATTCCTCATATGAATACTACTCTCCCTCTTCCCCTGATGACGTCTTTTGCGTATTCGCCCCCCCCCCCCCCGCGTATTGTTTTTTTACACACACGATTCCCCGGAGTTGGGTTTTCGCCTGCGTTTTTTTCCCAAATGCTGCTCTCGCTGAGGCGCCGGCCTCAGTTCTGCCCCCGAGTCGTTCCGAATCGCGTTCCCGCTACAGCGTGGGCCTCATTTTCGGATCGGTGTTTTGCCTCCGTCATTCAGGATGGCGTTCTCGCCCCAGCGCGGGCCTCTTTCTCGCGCGCCCATCCGCCCGCCACCACCGCGCCGCACCACGCCCCGCCCCGCCGCACGCACACCCACCGCCACTTCCACCCACCAACGCACGCACGCACGCACGCGCACCACCACCGCGCACCGCCACCACCACCGCACTACCCCACCCACCACCACCACGCTACACCGCGTCACACCACATCACACGCGCGCACACACAGACACACACGCACGCACGCACGCACGCACGCACACACACATACACACACACACAGACACACGCACATACACACACACACACACACCACCACCGCCACCACCACCACCACCACCACCGCCATCACGCACGTACGCACCTGGCCCACCACCAAACCACCAAGACGCCACACCACGTCACACCACAGTACACGCGCACACACGCACACGCACACACACACACATACACACACACCACCACCACAACAACCACAACCACGCACACACGCACGCACGCACGCGCACCACCACCCACTACGCACACGCGCGCGGAGCCACAGGTCCGCTACGACACGCGTCCGCGGATAGAGAAAATCAGCGCCATGGTAAGGGATGGGAGGGAGGGGTAGGATGTCAGATGTTGACGCGAGCGCACCTAACTTGTCCTCCTCCCCCTCCCCCCGCTCCAACTCCAACTCCTCCTCCTCCTCCTCCTCCTCCTCCTCCTCCTCCTCCTCCTCCTCCTCCTCCTCCTCCTCGTCGGGTCGCCTACGGCCCTGGGGGAAACCGTGCATTTCGGCCCCCTTGGGTTGCCGACGACGCCAGGCGCGGACATGTCGATCTTGGTCAGGGACGCGATCTACGAGCCCATTAGGTGGCCGCATCCCTCTCCTTCGGATACCCTGTCGATACCTCCCCCCTCTACATCCCATTCTTGACGTTCTGTCGTCGCGGAAAATGCGACGGGCTTCTTTGCTTCATTCTGGGCCCCAGGACTCGAAGACGGGCTAGGCTCGGTGAAGATGTCGTGGAAGGAGGGGGTCGACAGTTCCTGTCGTGGTTTTTGTTACGATATCTGTTTGATAAAGCCCGCATATTGATGAGATCGGGAGTTCTTGCTTTGGCCTCTCTCGACGTCCTACATTGTTTATACCTTAGGATGGCGTGAAGCGCAGGGGGTCACAGTACCCATCATTGCCCGATGATCACTATCAAGGTCGCCTTTAGAAAATCACCGGCGCCACCTGCCGTCCTTGAAATTGTGGCGTGGGTGGTAATATGCCGAGCGAAGGTGCGGCCATGGTCGGGCGTCCCCCAGCGCCTGTGGGCACCACCAGGGGGGGGGTTCTCTGCGCTTCTCCAGGGCGAAAAGAGGTTTGCACATCTTTCCTTGACTTGGGCAAGGGTCAACCACGCGCAGAGAGGGGTGAGGGGAGAGGGGAGGGCTTCTTAGAAGCACCCAGGCTTCTTAGAAGGCGCGGTCCTTACCTGTAGATGCAGGGCCGCCGCCTTCTAAGAAGCAGCCTCCTCCTAAGAAGCCCTCCCCCCTCCCTCCACCCCCTTGTGCGCGCCGCCAAGAAGGGGGAGCGGGTGTTGCTAACCTCTGGTGGTCCTCCCCTCGGCCTGACTCTGCTGACTGGCCCATCCCCGAGTCGGCTCGGTCCTGCGCCCTCACTCGCCGCGCCGCTTTCCCATGCCTCATCCGTCTCCGTCATCTGCCCCAGAATTTCCGAAAAGATGCCCAAGTCACCCGTCACATTCCTCCCCCCTCCTTCCCCACCGCTCTCCCGTCCTCCCTCTTCCTTCCCCTTCCCCACTCCAACACATCCGCCCTCATCCTGGCTCTCCCTCCAGGGAAGGAGTGAGACGTGTTGCGCCTTGACGATCCTGAACCGTGCCAGAACGCCGTTCCTGGGACTTCAACACCGCAAATCAATGTAACTGTTGCACCCTCATATTCCTGAATCCTTCCAAAGCACAATTTCTGGTACGTTGGTCATGGAAATCCGTGGAACCCTTGCAAAGTTTAAAAGCGAGTGTGCGCGGCGCTCAGGCGAGAGCCACAGTTTGAAAAGGAACCGCCCTCCATCGTGAAATGCTTGCAAAGTGTTAATTCGGATGTGCGCGGCGCTAAGGCGAGAGCCACGTTTGGAAAACGATGCGCCTTCAATCCGTGAAACTCTTGCAGGTGTTTAGAAAGAACGTGCACGGCGTCAACGCAAGAGTCACGGCCCACCTTCCATCTGTGAAACGGTTCCCATGTTTGAAGCACCAGGGTCATAAATGGTAAGGGCGTCTCAGGCGAAACGCCCGGCCCGGCCGAAACAATCGGCCTCGGGGTGCGAAAGTGAGAAGTTATGTACAAGGACGAGGAAGTGGAGGAGGCGGAGCCCGTCCCTGATGACCTTCGCGTTCCCCCTTCCCTCTGCTCCCGCGCGGCGCAGGAGATGTCGGCGGGCGAAGTTCTTCAAGAGGGTATCGAAAGCAGGCCGCCAGAAGAGCACAGAGAGAGTGGGCATCTCGTTTCTTGTTTCTCAATAGTTAGTTGCGTTATGTTAATACATCCCTTTCTTTCTCTTTTTCTCTCTCTCTCTCTCTCTCTCTCTCTCTCTCTTTCTATATATATATATACATATATATATGTATATATATATATATATGTGTGCATATGCATACATCTCTCTCTCTCTCTCTCTGCATGTCTAGCAGAGTACAGGATCGATGGCATGACTGCACAGCGGCTGCAGGCGCCCCCATCTTGACTACAGGACATAAGCAATATGGCATCCCCATCCCCTTTTCCTCCTGCCCGTCTTCATCTCGTCATCGTGCCTCCACGACGTCCTCCCCATCCTCTGCTCGAAGACGCCCACGGCGAATCACCGCCGCCCCCTTGCCTTTTGGTAGTGCCTATTGGGCCAACATCTGGCCAATCGATTGGGGAACGTGCCCCTCCAACCGTTCGGGGAACCCCTAGGATTTGACCTGGGGCAGGAACAGAGAGGAGGAGGAGGAGGGAGGAAAAGGGGAGGGCGAGGCGGGGGAGGACGAGGCCGCCGTGGACGCCCGAGCGCGCCCGAGGGGCCGGCCGGCCGTCGGGCCCGTGGCGGTGGACAGCGCGCCCGCGCGAAGGGACGCTGCGGCGGCGACCCGAGCACCAGTCTCTCTCCCCGGCCTGCGCAGCTCCACCCCCCCACAACGACGCAGCATCCGCCGGGGGCAGCCGGGAGGGGGGGGGGTGACGGGGGGGGCGTGGATATCCAAGGGCGCCCTCGAGGGCGCGAAGTTTTTCGCGCTTCGCGGTTCGGCTCCGGTTCCCCCTCATCCTCCTCTCTTCTCCTGGGAGGCGGCGCGAGAGCGCGAAGTTATTCGCACTTCGCACTTCGCGCAGCGCGAAGCGCGAAATTGGGAGCCCTTGGATATCGGGGCGTGGGCCATGATATCTCCCCAGATTTCACGGCGCCTCTTCTCCTTGCATTGCGTCCCTGGCCCCCCCCCCCGCTGAGCCGGCCGCGCACATGCCGCCGGCCATGAGTTGCGCCCTCCCCCTTCTTGGACGCCCCCTTCTTGGCCGCCCCCGAAGCATCGAGCTCCCGTCGGTCCAGCAGCCCCGCTTGGTACAGGCGACCGCGGGGGGCGCGTGCCGACGCTCGAGTCCTGTTGCGAGCCGCCAGCGCAGAGGCACTCTTCAGCGCTCGCCATATCGCACAGCAGCCGCTTCGACCTCGGGCAACCATCCTGGCGCCGATGTGCCAACCTAGGTGGCAACCGCGACCACAACCATCACCGAAGCCAGCAGCACGACCCAAACCAGCTGTCGGCGCAGGACTGGCAAGGTGGAGAAAAGGCAACCCCTACTGGAACTGGAAGAACGACAAGAACAGCGCCCAGAAGGACAATATCCCCGTCACCAAACACGAGAATAATGAGGACTGCCAGGACGACAGCGGGAATACGATCACCCAGCACAATGCCATCATCAACGCCATCATTGGGGATGTCATACCAAGCAGGACGAGGGACGCGATCAACCACGCCCAGTCACCACATGGAGAAACAACAAGCTCCAGATGCTCGAGTCCGACGCGCTCGCCGCACTGAGGAACAACTACACCGAAATACCCATGAGCGACTCGCTCAACAGAATTGCGCTCACCAGCGCCATGATCCAGAACCGCTTCCCTGTCAAACACCAGCTCAAGGACCTGAGACCGCCTCGTCCCTTCACAGAAACACATCTCGCGAACCAGGAGGAGCAGGAGCAAAGGGAGGAGTGTGAGGAGGAGGATGACCAAAGTAAACAAAAGATGCATCACCGATGTTGGAATCCACCTTCCAGTCTCAAGTCCCCTCACAAGTCCCTACAAGCTTTCACTTTCACAAAAAAGGGCCCCCTTGAAATGCCAGCACCCTAATTTTTGACCTGCCATTCGGGAGAGACCCCCGTGCTGAAAGGGAGTTGCCTTGCACCGTTTCTAGCCGATGGTGTTGAACGCAGGAAGGTACGTCTCCCTCCCTCAGTCCCTCCTTCCTCCTCCTCCTCCTCCTCCGCCTCCTCCTCCACCTTCTCCTCCTCCTCCTCCTCCTCCTCCTCCTCCTCCTCATCCTCCTCCTCCTCCTCCTTCTCCCCCTCCTCTTCTGCAAGGTGTCCAGTGAGATCCCCGTGCTGGACACATGACAGCCACCCAGATGTGCACGTGTTGCACAATGCGCGCATGGTAACCGATTCCGAGGGGGTATCAAGCAAGAGCCCCATGTTGAAAAGAAACCGGTTTCCATCCGCTCAGTTGTTTGCATGTGTGCAAGGTTTTTGTTATACCAGCCCATGGAGTCCCAGCCGAGTTCCATACAACAATAACCGGCCCGCCCTCCATTCTAGTTGCACAAGTGTCAGACGAATGTGCGCGCGGCTAGGCGAAAGCCCAATTTTGAAAACGGACGCCCTTCGCTGTAAATGGTGCAAGCTTTAAAGAGGAGTGCGCGCTGCACTAAGGCGAGAGCTTCATTTTGAAAACGGCCAGCCTTACATGTTTGTAATTGCCGCAATGCTTCAAGACGAACGTGCGCGGTTCAGGCAAGGAGTAGTTACATGTAAGGAAAAGAGGTGAAGCAGTAGAAGACAGGAGGAGGAGCAGAGTACAATGCTGTACAGAAGAGTCCCCACGAGCGTAGTTCAGGGCGAATCTCATAAGCGTCGTCTGATGAGTGTCCGCAGATCGCCCAGCATCTTGATATGATGCACCTCCCTTCCACGATATCTTAGCAGGATGGGTAGCCTCCCGAGGTTGAGGATAAGAGACCGAATGGAAGACGGCATCTCAAGGGAAGACGGTACCCCCCCCCCCCCCCCCTTGACGTCATAACTGTTCCGCAACGTCGACCCCAGAGGTTTCGACATTTCCACAGGGGGCCAGGTAAGGGTTCCCAGATGCCAGAAATGACCAATACATCCCGTTGCAATGCTCTGCGACGCGAGGGGGGTTGGGTCGACAAAGACGTCTTCGTCGACGACGACCATGCCGTCGTCGACGACGACGCGGTCGTCGTCGCAAGGGGGGGGCGGGCTGCGTGGTTGCCCCAGGAGTGAGGAAGAAAAGTGCGTCTCCTCTTTTTCCAAGGGCCATTTCTTGCAGTGAAAAGGAAGGCCTGTATAGATCTCTGCGGAGGCGACTCGGGACAGGAGGGTGTCTTGCAGCATCGCTGATGCATCCTGGGTGTTTTCTGGTGGTCCTGCTCCTCCTCCCTCCCCCTCCCTCCCCCCCCCTCTCCCTCCCCTTCCTCCGCTCACTCGTGGCCCCTCTTCCACCCGGCCTCCACAATTACACAATATGAATACTTCTCTCCCACTTCCCCTGATGGCGTCCGGAAGATGTTCGGCACCCCCCCGCGTACTGTTTTTTTACACACAGGATTCCCCGGAGTTGGGTTTTCGCTTGTGTTTTTTCTAAAATGCTGCTCTCGCTGAGGCGCTGGCCTAATTTTCGGGCTCCCGCTCCTTCCGAATCGTGTTCCCGCTGCAGCGCTGGCCTCATTTCCGCGCTCCCGCCCGTTCCGAATCGTGCTCCCGCTGCAGCGCTGGCCCAATTTCTGCGCCTCTCGTTGTTCCAAAACGTGCTCCCGCTGCAGCGCCGACTTTTTCGATCCTTTTTAAGAAGCCCCAAATCTAGAAAATGGTCCCCGGCCAAAACATTGGAGGTGATTACACATCCGGTGTCGATTCGTTGATTCTTGGGGCCGCAGAAAGCCCCCCCCCCCTTTTGGGCGACGTCCTTTTCCGCACAGGATTCCCGGGAGTTTGGTTTTCATCTATGTTTTTGAAAATCCGAGTCTTTCCGGTCCTTCAGAATGTTGCTCCCGCTGCAGCGTTCGTCCTATTTTCCGCGCCGCTGGTCGTTCCGAATCGTGCTCCCGCTGCAGCGTGGGCCTCATTTTCGGATCGGTGTTTTGCCTTCGTCGTTCAGGATGGCGTTCTCGCCCCAGCGCGGGCCTCTTTCTCGCGCGCCCATCCGCCCGCCACCACCGCGCCGCACCACGCCCCGCCCCGCCGCACGCACACCCACCGCCACTTCCACCCACCAACGCACGCACGCACGCACGCGCACCACCACCGCGCACCGCCACCACCACCGCACTACCCCACCCACCACCACCACGCTACACCGCGTCACACCACATCACACGCGCGCACACACAGACACACGCACGCACGCACGCACGCACGCACGCATGCACACACACATACACACATACACACATACACACATACATACATACATACATACATACATACATACACACATACACACATAGACACATAGACACATAGACACATAGACACATAGACACATAGACACATATACACATAGACACACAGACACATACACACATACACACATACACACGCACACACACGCACACACACACACACACACACGCACACACACAGACATACACACACACACACCACCGCCCACACACACACACACACACGCACACACACAGACACACACACACACACCACCACCGCCACCACCACCACCGCCATCACGCACGTACGCACCTGGCCCACCACCAAACCACCAAGACGCCACACCACGTCACACCACAGCACACGCGCACACACGCACACACACACACATACACCACCACCACAACAACCACAACCACGCACACACGCACGCACGCACGCGCACCACCACCCACTACGCACACGCGCGCGGAGCCACAGGTCCGCGCGTCCGCGGGTAGAGAAAATTAGCGCCATGGTAAGGGATGGGAGGGAGGGGTAGGATGTCAGATGTTGACGCGAGCGCACCTAACTTGCCTTGCCCCCCTCCCCCCCTCCTCCCTCCCCTCCCTCCCCTCCCTCCCCCTCCCCCTCCGCTCACTCGTGGCCCCTCTTCCCCCCGGCCTTCCCTTGCCCCCCCCCCGCCCCCCCCCCCGGCGCGCGGGGCTCCGGAGCTGCCGGCCCCCCCCACCCGCGAGAGCGGGAAGAGGCGGCGCCTCCCCCCTCGGCGCGGCCAGGCGCAGACGGCACCGTCAGGGAGTTCTGGACGCCCTGCAGCCCTGGCGCGCCCCCACGGCCGCCCTCCTGCGGGCCCCACGGGGGCTTGCGCCGGGCCCGACCGGCTGGCTGTGCGCCTCGCGCTGCACCATGCAATCCGAGGAAGAGGAGGAGGAGGAGGAGGAGGAGGACCTACGCACCAACTATGTTGCAATAAGCCCTACCTCCAAGTTCCCCCTTCACAGGGCCCTGCAAGGATTTGTTGCCGTAACTGTTGCATCCTTGCAAACTTCAATCTTGCCAGAACAGAGTTCCTGGGACTCCGACCATGCGAATATTTGAAACTGTTGCAAGCGTTCCCAACGAATGTGCGCAGCGCTAAGGCGAGAGCTACATTTTGAAGGACAACCGCCCTGCACACTTGAAGTGAGGCCTAAGTTTAAGACGAATGCGCGCGGCGCTAAGGAGAGAGCCACAATTTGAAAACCGCCCGCCCTCCATCCGCGAAATTGCTGCAACTGTGTAAAACGAATGTGCGCGGCGCTCAGGCGAGAGCCACATCTTGAAAACGACCCGCCCTTCCATCTTTGAATTTGGTGCAAACTTCAAGCGTTCGGATCAGACATGGTGAGGGAGTCTCAGGCGAAACGCCCGGCCCGCCCTACCGACACGTCTGGGGGTGCGACAGCGAGAAGATCTTGTGAAGGCCTGACAGCCGGTGCCGCCGACCCTGAAAGACATCGACGACGACGAGGAGGAGAAGGAGGAGGACGAGGAGGAGAAGAAGGCGGGGATAAGGAGGAGGAGGAGGAGAAGGAGGCGGGGATAAGGAGGAGGAGGAGGAGGAGAAGGCAGCGAGGAGATGCTTCTAAGGTAGGGGATGGAGGAGGATCGGCGAGGAGGACGCCGCGCAGCCAGACACCGGCACCTGCGATCTGTGGCCGTCGCAGCGCGAACGTGCCAGAGCGGCTGCCGGCACTGCCGCGGACTTGGGCTGCAGGAGGCAGGCTCGGCGGCTTCCCTGGCGCACCCGGCTGCCAGGAGGAGGAGGAGGAGGAGGAGGAGGAGGAGGAGGAGGAGAGGAGGAGGAGGAGGAGGAGGAGGAGGAGGGGAGGGGGAGGGGGAGGAGGAGGAGGGGGAGGGAGCGGCCTGCTGGACCATGATATCTCCCGGTCGAGGGCGCATTTCAGACGTGCCGAGCCGACCGCGGTCATGTGTAGCAGCGTGACTCTGTCGCAACTTCAGAATCGGCGGTCCAGGCGCGCGGCATCCCCTCGCCCCGCAGGCGACCCGAACAGGGTGGAGAAGTCGCTGATGGAGGCGCCCTCGTTTGGAATCAGCGCTGAGAGGGTGGGGGTGAGGATGAGCCTGTTGTGCGACGATGCTGATATCAGGCGTGGACAAGTCGAAAGACTTCAGCTTCAAGCCTCGGCGACTACGGAACGCACAAGAAACACATGTTCGTTTGAGTTCTGTCTATTGCACGTTTTGCGACGATGCGCAAATTATTTGTAGGGTGCTCGCAAACATTCGCTGCGATGTGGCAACTATCTTATTACCGAGTACGTTATAAAAAAAGTTTGGTCAGACATGAGGAGGGGAACGACGAGGAGGGATCTGGCAGGCCGCTTGAATGGGCCGCTGTGAAATGCGGATTGGTGCGACAGTCGATCGTGGATTGCGTCGTGTCCGCCATGAGCTGTCGATAAGAGGTATCGTGGATTTCTACGGTGCATACTTTAGTCGCTGAATTCCCTGGAATACGTTGCGGACGCTCGCGTACATCCTCCTCGTCGCTTTCCGCCTTTTCGCACTCGAAGGTCTCGGTCAGGCGGTTGAGCCACGTAAGTTCGCGCTCACGCTGGTCGTTGAAAGTAGGAATTTTTGGAGTCCCAGATCCCAATCTTTTTTAGCCGTTTTCCGATCTCAGCAGGATCGGGCGTTTTCACCTCGTCCTTCCTCTTCAGGGAGCGGGCGGAAGCGCAACCTGCTTCCATCGCCGTCCTACTTCATGTTTCTACCCACTCCTTCCGACCGACATGTATCCTTTGCTATCCTCGGGGGCGGCCAAGAGGGGGGTGATGACTACGGGGGGGATGGATATCATGGCAGGGGCCATGATATTCCCCTGGATGTCATGGCACCTCTTCTTATTTCATTACGTTCCTGGCCGCCGCGCACATGCCGCCGGCCATGATTTGCACCCCCCCTTCATGGACGCCCCCCTCTTGGCCGCCCCCGACATCCTGCCCTGTCGTCCCCCCCAACGTCGAGGAGGGCATCCCCCCCGCCGCGCCAGATCCCCGGGGCCGAGCTGCTGGAGCCGGACGTCCTGGCCTCCGACTTCGAGGCGCGGCCGCGGTGCGCGGCGCGGCGCGGCCGCACTGCCGCACCGCCGCCGAGTGCGGCGTCGCGACGCCGACGCCGACGCCGACGAAGGCACTCAGAGCAGGAAAAGGTGCCCATGCCTGATGATGTCTCAACCTACGTTAGCCGCGATCGCCAGAAAGACTCTCGAGCACCAAAAGAGTTCCGAAACTCGAGGGCGTTCACATGTCGGGCCCTGGGAGACACTCGTCCGAATCGAAACACGGTTTCGGCACTTTTCCGGGTGCTCGAAATTATTTCTGGGACGTGGTCCTAAGTACGATGGGAACCACATAACCCATGCCATTTTTGTCGCCCGTTTTCCTTTTTTTCGGCCTCCTGGGAGGCCCTCGTCGCCACCGCTACGTACTGAGGAGTAGCATGATCGGCCCCAGACACTCTCGACGACGATTTTCTGAACGACGGAGCAGGCATCGGCGTCGGCAGCTTTGTCGTTTGTGTCGGCTTCGGCGTTATCGCCGTCGGCGGTGTCGTCGGCAGCGGCGTCGTTGGCTCCGGTGTCGGCGGCAGCATCGGGGTCAGCTTGGTCGTCGGCAACGGCGGCTCCGTCCTTGTCGGCGTCGCCAGCGCCGCCAACGAGGGACGAGAGGAGGAGGAGGAGGAGGAGGAGGAGGAGGAGGAGGAGGAGGAGGAGGAGGAGGAGGAGGAGGAGTAGGAGAAGACGGAGGAGGAGGAGAAGAAGGAGGTGGAGGAGGAGGAGAAGAAAGAGGAAGAGGGTAGGACGACGAAGACGACGCGCTGGTGCGCGCTTCCCCCAGGAGAAGGAATCAAGAGGACGAAGGAGCAAGAGCACATAGATTATGGAATCGGTTCGCTCATTCCGCCAGCCCATACTTTTTACCGAATGTCGTTTTGGAACCTTCCTTTTGGGAAATGGGTGTCTACGAGCGCGAACGCTGGCAACAGGAGACGCCTTTCCCCGTCTCCTCTCCTTTCAATCCCTCCCTCCGATGCTTCGTGTTATCGTGTGCGGGGGTAGCAGCGTAGAGGCGCGGGTGTGGAAAGGCTGGCTGGAAGAGGAGGAGGAGAAGGAAGAGGAGGAGGAGGAGGGGGAGGAAGAGGAGGCGGGAGGAGGGGAGGGGCATTTGAGGAGGGAGGGAGGAGGGAGGGAGAGGGTCCCTCCCCTTTGGACTACAGCCGGGGGTTTGGACGCCATCGCGGAACCTGCCACCCATGGGTCCCGAGTCGAATGACCGCTTCGGGGCTCGTTTCGCTTCCCTCGGAGTGCTCCAGGGGGCGCTTTGGGGCGCCCTTACAGCCGCCCCCCGGAATTCTGGCATCCGTGAGGACCGCTCCCCGGGGTCCGCCCCCCCGCCGTCGTTGTTGCCGTCGGCGTAGGGGCGGCCACTGTTCAGTCGGGCCTGTCCCTCTACAGGGGGGATATTCAAAAATAGTCAAAAAAAATAGTCTGGTAACTATTGTCTGAAAATGTGTGGGCATTTTCGGTGCATTTTTGGGGTAGTATTATGATGTGTTTTTTTCCGTCCAAAATCGGCCTGTAGTGGGACAGGCCCGATTTAAGGCCATTGGCAGGGTGCCCGATCCAGCTGCGGCGCGGGCACCAGGAGTCAGATGGCGTGGGGAGACGTTGCGCTGATGAGTGAGTGCCGCCGCCAAGGGGCGGGTTGTGAGGTGCTCGGGGTGCCCAGCGCGCCGGAGGCCGCCCCAGCGGTGCCGCCGGGAGGACCCAGCGCGGATCCAGGCAATGCGTGCAGAGCTCCGAGAGTGTACGTTTCTCATGCCGCTTTCCTTGGCGCGCCTCAAAGATGCCCAGGGCGTTTTGGTAAGCGCTTTCAGCTCGGCGTCTTGGAAATCATTTGCTTGGCGCTTTCAGATCTGCGGCAGAGGAGGAGGTGTCCAGGCGCACGTATAGGGCGAGGCCCCAGCTGTGCTTCCCGGCAGCTGCGCCGCGCCGCGAGCCTTGGGGGGAACTGAGGAATGCAACCCTCAAGAGAGGCAGGCCGCTCGGTGCCAGCTGAAGACTTCGTCGCGGATATCCCCGAATGTGTTTGTCAGTTCCTGGCGTTTCATCGTGTGAGCGTCTGAGTGAGTCTCACTCAGACACTCACACTCATACACTCACACTGACACTTCAGGCCCAGATCCTCTCAGAGAGGATCTGAGCCTGTAGCGACACATACGCTGGGATGTCCGCGTGGATTTCCGGCATTGACGCTGGGCCCAACGCATGACGCACGACGCGAGGAGGATGCGGAAGAGGAGTGGGGAGCGGGGAGGAGGAGGAGGAGGAGGAGGAGGAGGAGGAGGAGGAGGAGGAGGAGGAGGAGGTGGAGGTGGAGGAGGAGGAGGAGGAGGAGGAGGAGGAGGAGGAGGCGGCGGGGGCGAAGGAGGAGGGCGGGGACGATGGCGAGGAGGACCGAGCCTCGCCTTCCGTGGCCATGTTCGGTCAAGCCCCCCCGGGGGCCGGTTTCGCTGGCCCTGGAGGGCGGCAGACCTTGCAGCGTGCGCAGGGACGCCCGTGTTGACTCCTCCCCGCGTCGGAACGCCCGGAATCTATGTCTGAGCGGCCTGCGGGCAGCAGGGGCCACGAGGCCGGAGGGCCCTGGGGCTCCCAAGGACCTCGGAGCGGGGGGAGGGCCCAGGGACGCGGGGTCTACGCGCTCGTTCCCGACGGCGTCCCAGACACGGTCAATCGGACAATGTTCCGGATAGATTCGTTCCGGACGCGGCACGGTGCCGGCACAGCTCCGCGACCGTTAGCGCAGACGCATCCGAGCTTGCGTTCGCGGCAAGTCAGCAACAGGTGTGGTGCAATCGACGTGGTGCAGTCTATGCGGCGCAGTCTACATGGTGCAATATTGGTGGAGGAGTCCACGCGGTGCAATCTATGTGGTGCTATCTATGCGGTGCAGCACATGTCGTGCAATATTTGCGGGGCACCCGATGCGGTGCAGTGAGTTGTCAACTCCACTTCTCGCGAATCACCCCACCCGCCCACCCGCAACTTGGTTTGATGCGCGTGCGCCCTTCGTCTCATTTGTTGCACATGGTTCTTGAAAACGAATGATATGTTTTGCGGAAGGCCGTCTTGGAGGCAGCTTGGGATCCTCGTGGGGCGACCTTGAGTGCCTCTCGGGCCGTCTTGGATTGTCGGTCGGGAAGCCGAAAAGGCGAAACGGCCTAAATCGGTCAAGACCCGAAGGAATAGCAGTGCTCTTGGAGGCCTTTTCGGGTTGTCAGGAGGTCAACTGGCGTCTTGGACCGATCGTTCGGCGATTCGGGATTCCCTGGGACCGTCTTGGGCGCCTCTTGGGCAATTTTAGGATGGGGTTATGAAGCCTGTTTTCTTTGTGCCAGCAACGACGGCGGAGGAGGGGCTCTCCAGGCGCGCGTAGGGCGAGGCCCCAGCAGCTGCGCCGCGCCGAGAGCGTTCCAGGGGTTCGCGAGTCGTCTGGACCAACCCGTGGAGAAGTGAGCAATGTGACCCGAAAGGGAGGCCTCTCGGCGCTAGCTGAAGGACACGTTGCTGATATCCCCATATATATGCTTGGCAGTTCCTGGTGATTCTGTGTGTGAGTATCTGAACGAAGGTCTGAGCTTCTAGCGGCAAATACGATGGGAGACCCGCGCGGATTTCTGGGGTCGGCGCTGGGACCTTCAAAACCGCCCCCGGGAATTCCTGTATCCGTGAGGACCACAGCCCAGGTTCCGCCCAGGTTGTTGGACTGGAATCCCCAGGGGAAGCCGCGCGCTCGCGAACTTGAACAATCGAGTCCTGTTGCTTGAATTGTGTAAGCACGCCGCCAGCCCGCTGGGCCTGCGAGTTCTTCCTTCGAGCTCTTATGAAGACCAAGGGCAGATGACAGTTGCGCAGGCCTCTTGAACTGCAGGGGCCTCGCGAGGTGATATCCCCCGGTGCCGGCTGCCGCCCAGGAACCAGGCTCAGATCTGGACGTGAGCGACAGGCCGGATTTTTCGTAGCCCCAGGCGCATACAGCCTCCCCAGAGGGCGCAGGCGATGCCCCTTCATGTGCCTGAGCGACCGTGCCGGACTGCATTGCTATGCGCGACCGCACGCGACGACGCCGACGACGGCTGGCTGGTCCGCGGGGCCCCCCCTCGAGAAGTCGCTGCCGCCGTGGTCGCCGACGCGGTCGTTGCAGTCGTCGTCGTCGTCGCCGTCGCCGTCGCCATCGCCGTCGCCGTCGCCGTCGTCGTCGTCGCGGCCGTCGTCGCCGTGGACGTCGTGGCCGCCGCCTCCTTGGCCGACCTCGGACGGGAGGCCGCCCTCGAGAAGTGCCGGCCCAGCGTCAGCCAAGGCGACCTGAAGGCACACGAGGCCGCGCGGGGCCGCGAGCATGCCCCCCCTCCGGCGGCCGCGGGCGCCGGGAAGTTGCACCGGGCAGTGAACGGTTTCGAGGCCCGGGGCTGGAGGGCTTCTCCGAAGGGCTTCGGCCACTCGTCCTCCTCCTCCTCCTCCTTCTCCTCCTCCTCCTCCTCCTCCTTCTCCTCCTCCTAATCCTCCTCCTCCTCCTCCCCCTCCGCCTCCTCCCTCCCCTCCTCCTCCTCCTCCTCCCTCTCCTCCTCCCCCCCTCCTCCCCCTCCTCCTCCTCCTCCTCCTCCTCCTCCTCCTCCTCCTACTCCTCCTCCTCCTCCTCCTCTCTCCCTCCCCCTCCCCCCCCTCCTCACTCCTCCTCATCATCCATCTTCTCCTCCCCCGTCCCCCTCCTCCCCGTCCCCCTCCTCCTCTCCCCCTCTCCTCCTCCTCTCCTCCTCCTCCTCCTCCTCCTTCCTCCTCCTCCTCCTCCTCCTCCTCCTCCTCCTCCTCCTCGTCATGCCGGGAACCCTGGAAGCGCCATGGACCCGCGGAGCGCCGCGCGGGGGGGCACCCGAGGGATCCTGAGGGGGGCGAGCAGGCGCGCCGGCGCTGAAGCCAGCGCGCCGACGGCACGGCCGAGCAGCGCAAGGGGCGTGGGGGTGGCGATGCTTGCGCTCTGGGTGCGTGCGCCCTGCAGCCTGCACAGGAGGATCTCCTTCAGGAGGGAAAAAAACACACAGACACAATTAATCGTCGATTCCCCAGAAAATATGGGAAAATATGGGAATTGGGGGGGAAGACAAAAACCCAGAAAATATGGGAAAATATGGGGACTATTTTTATTTGTGTGTATTTATTTGTGTGTCCTAATTTCCCTTTACTCCTGCGCTAGGCCACTCGACCGTGAAATTGGGGGGCGCCTTCGCGCCGACCATGGGCGAGTCGACACACTTGGCACCGCCGGGCAGGCCTAGACAGGAAATCCACGGAAGCCGAGAGGCCCACAGAGGCCTTCCTGAAGATTTCTTTGCCCCCAAAATCGCCACGCGATTCTGGGGCTATGAAAAAGGGAGGCTCGGGGCGGTGGGGGGGAGTTGACCCCCAATCGCCCAAGGATCGCCGATGGGGCCCGATATCACACCCCGCCCAGCAGCGTGCGGCTCTGCCGTCGAAGCCCCATCGCTGACCTGTCGGCGTTGCATCGCCGATGCTGGTTCGATGCTCCACCCCGCCTCATCGGCCACGCGCACACGGGGGTAGGGAGAGGGGTGAAGGTTTCTCAGAGAAGCACCCCTGCTTCTCAGTAGGCGCAGGCCTTATCTATAAATGTGACTGAGGCCATCGCCGTCCAAAAAGTAGCCACGGAAAGGGTTACACCGCTTGCGTTGCGACGCGCGTGGAGGCGATCTGCGCGGCCCGCCGCGACATTCTCGCCCCAGCGACGTTCGAAGAAGAAAGCACTACATAAACACAAAGTTTCGACGTTCATCGCGGACCGTCGAAAGTTTATGTTTATGCAGTGTTTTCTCCCTCTAGATGCCCCCCCACTGTTGCCGGCTCGGGCACCACCGAAGCGTTGCGTCGCAAAGGCCCGTGGCACCGGCGTCCCCCGCACGCCTGCCTTCTGGGACACCGAAATGTCTCGTCGCCTCGTCGGCGTCGGATGGGCATGCAATGCCCGGGCGCGGCCCCGATCGGGATCCGAAGCGGTTCCCCGTCTTTCAGGAGGGGAAAAAACACACAGACACAATTAATCGTCGATTCCCCTGAAAATATTGGAAAATATGGGAAGTGGGTGGGAAGACAAAAATCCCAGAAAATATAGGAAAATATGGGGAATACTTTTATTTGTGTGTATTTATTTGTGTGTCCTGGGGCCCCTTCAGTCTTCCTCTCCCCATCACCGCCCCGCGCCTTTCTCCCGTGCAGTTTTCTAGTTCCGCGCGCCCTTCCCGCCCGCCCCCGCTGCCCCCGCAGCCCCGCAGCCCCCGCCCCCTTTCACCCCTCCTCCTCCTCGTCCTCCTCCTCCTCGTTCTTCTCCTTTTCTTGCTCCTTTTCTTCCTCCTCCTCCTCCTCCTCCTCCTCCTCCTCTTCTCCTCCCCCTCCTCCTCGTCCTCGCCCTCTGCCTCCGTAGCCAGTAATGCGCAAGCCATCTTAGCTTCAGCCAGACGGTCTCAAACGCCGCGCTGCGTTCCTGGCCAGGGCAAGGGGGTTAGGGTTCGAGTTATTGTCCGAACCGCCTCGCCTGGTCCGCCCCAGGCGCGAGGCAGCAATAACGTTTCCCACCGCTCTGTTTTCAGCTTCTCTCTGGTATGCGCTGACGCGCTGGGTTCCGAACAAGAGACGGCACCGCGATCCCCCAAAAAAGTACCTCGTCTGCTCGAGGCGCGGCTGCAACAATGGCTGGGCTTGGTGCAACACTTCTGCTTCACACTGCACGCATTGTGGCGGCCGTCTCAAGCAAGAGCCTCACGGTGGGGCCCGTTGGAGGAGGTGGTCCGGGGACGCGGACGGTGGCAGCCAGCGGGGGCGCGGACGGTGGTCGCCCCGAGTGTTTCCAGCCGCCCAGGCCAGGCCGCTGGGCGCGCGCAGGCCGAGGGCGGCCCCGCGAACCCCACTGGGCTCGGGAGGTGGCAGCACGTCTCTTTCTCGGAAGGGGGAACCCCGGCGAGAAGAAGACCCTGTCGCGCTTGCACAGGCTCAGGCCATCTGCTGGTCGAAGTGGAGGCCCAACGGCGACGAGCACCAAGCCGCCTTGGGAAGACTCGGGCAGGCCCAAGCAGCCGCCTCGGTGTCGGAGTCGTTGGAGCAGCAGGCGCAATCCTTCTCTGTCGGACCAGCTCGCTGTGCAGCGTCAGAAGCTCCAGAACCAGTCATCGGAGATGAGGGCCCTGGTCGACACCATGCTCGAGGCGAGCGATCGCCACGGCAAGCTGGCGCAGGAGACCAAAGCCACCAAGCAGGAGATCCAGCCACCCGAACCACAGCTCAACATGGCGACGCAGGCAGCGACGCAGGAGGTCACCAAGGATGACGACTTCCTTGCAGACGCTCCAGGGCGCGCTGGCGGCACGCATGCGGGAGGGCAGCTTGGGCCCTCCAGCGCTTCGGGACAGGGTCGCGGAGCTGGCGTCGTCGTTCGAAATTGTGCAAGCACCGAATTCTCAGTCTCAGCAGTCTCAGCAGCAGCAACAGCCGCCGCGCCAGATGCCCCCCCAGCTGCCCGCGAGGCCCCAGGGGGTGAACTCGCGGCAGAAGCAGGCGAGGCGGCCATGGGCACGCCCACGCCACTCGACGCCGAGCTCGACACAACGCACGAGTCTCAGTCGGCGCGCCGTGCAGCCAGCGCCATCTCGCAGGTCGCGGAGGGCGCGGACAAGATCCAGGGCGCCGAGGGCCCCGGGGCCAAGAAGGCCAAGGCGGCAGCGGCAGCAGCGACGGCCTCAGCAGAAGACCCATCGCGGCTTTGACGCAGAGGTCCTACACCACCGCCACGATCAATGGCTCCCGTTGCGGAGCAGCGAAGGCACTTGCTGAGCCCAACGATGCGGACAAGTTAGTGCCCATTTGCGTTCGAAAGTGCAGGCTCGAAGCAGGAAGTCGCATCGCTCGTCGGATACAGCGGTGCTTCGCACGTGGGCGGCTTGCGCGCATCACCCCCGCCACCTGCAGCCCCTCGGGGGAGGTCGTCTCTGGGGTCGCGGCGCTCGTTCGGGATGGCTTGGACTTGGGGGCCCAGCCGCTCCAGGTACCACCGGGGACGGACCCGTCTCGGCCCCCTGGCGTTGCGGTCGAAGCTCTTGCGGCCCCAGCCTCTGGCCTCGCGAGCACCCGCTTTCGAGCAGCCCCAGGTCTCTGCGAGACCAAGTCAAACCTACTGACCGCCATCGGCCAACAGCAAGAATACCTTACGAAGCCTATTGCCGTTGCAGGAGATTTTAACCGGCAGCCTGAAACGATGCAGAACGGCGCAGACTTCCTCACCCGATCCACGACGCAGCTGGCGGCCCCGCCCACTGCGGCGCGCGCAACCTAGAAGACTAAATCGACCTTATATGATTGCATAGCCAGGCGCTCGGCCCTTGGCTTCACCCCCGCCCGCACCTCGGCCACCTATCGATCCGCTCTCGCCCCGCCGCCCCGTGCCTGCGAGTGCAAGAAAATATCAGAACCCCCGCGCTCATCAGGCCACTGACGCCCCCACACTAAGGCCCCCTGTCTGCCCCAGCTTCCATCCGCGAGCTGGCCCCAGACAGCTGCAGCGGCAGACTGCGCCATCCAAGCGGTCGGAGATTTCTCGCAGCCGCTCTCCGACCAGCAGCGCCCGACCATCCCGGGCCACGCGCGTTTCGACTATCTTGGACCAAGACATGCATCCCGACAGATACCCCCACCATGCCCACCCTCCCGCGGTGCAGATGACCCCCAGTGCCGGGTGCGCCCAGCGTCGCAAGCGTTGGGCGGCCCGCTCGAGGCGCCCCTGCGGCGGCTTGCCGCAAGACTGTCGTCGCAGCAGCCAGGGCCAGGACCTCCGGGGTTTCCGGGGCACCATGGACAGTTCGGATGATCGCCCTGAGGTTGTTAGTACATCGTCTGCCTTAGGCCAAGGGCCGCACGGGGCGCGCGCTGCTGCAGGACTGCCGCATGCAGATTTTCGAGCAGGTCGGCTCTTCACTGAGCTTGGCCCACGCATTTCATACAGGTTGCTCGAGCAGGTTGGCAAGGTCACCGATCTGGCCGCCGAGCACAGCAAGGATGGAAAGGAATTGAGGGAACGGGTTCAGTCGTCGACGAGAGGGGGAGTGGGATTGGCACGCGGCACACAGTTGGGCCAAGGAGCGATAAAGGCGCGGCAGCCGTTCGCAGTTCTCATCAGCCACGGTTTTCTGGATGCCCTCAACATATCCCCCAGGACGAGGCCGATCGCCCATCTAAGATTGGGAATTTCAACGCTGCCCCCCACCCCACCCCCCCCCTCCATCAATGGGTTCCTCCTGTCGACGCTAGAGTTGCCCGAGGCCCCCGCGTCGCCCACACACCGGCCTCGAAAGGCATCGCGCAGTTCCCCGCGCGGCGCGGCCTCCAGTCGGGATGGAGTTCACCCCCGCCACGAAGCAATGCTCAACGAGGAGCATGCCGCACGATTGAGATTATCGAGCAGATAGGCGCAGGGAGGTAGTTCGACCCTCGCGACGACGTTGAAACAGCGCCCCCCCAATACGAGGCGCAGTTTCCCCGCCATTACTTACGCGAGCTGCGAGAGAAAAAGAAACAAGGAATGAGAAGACAGGAGAGAACCAGCCCCCCCCCACGATAAAAAAAACAAGCGGGAATGCGAGCGCCGCGGCGCGCGCGGTCGCGCGCGACCCGCCGCTGGCACCAGCGCGAACGCGCGGGCGTCGCTGCGACGACGACGGCGACGGCGACGACGACGACGGCGGCGTTAGCGACGGCGGCGCCGACGGTAGCGACGACGGCGGCAACGGCAACGGTGGCGACGACGAACGTCGCGGCGACGGTGGCGACGGCGCCCGGGCCCACGCGCGAACTGGCGCCCCGCCTTCTTCCTTGGAGCCCCGCGCCAGGTCTTATTGGGGGGAGCGAATGGTTTGCGCGTAGCTTTACCCCGGCCGCAGCATCTGCTTTTCCGAATTTTCGCTCGTTTTAGTAAAACGTCGTTTTGTCTGACTGCATTGAGCGGCGCGCCTTTACCAAGGCCGTTTCCTCGCTTTAGCAAAGCCGCTTCTCCGTTGAAGTCAAGCCGTTCCCTCGCTGTAGTAAAGCCGTTTCCACGCTTCAGGAGAGCCCGCGGTCCGCCGTAGCAAAGCCTTGGGGGGGGAGCGCGGTGGCGACGCGGGGCCAGGGCCAGGTCGGGGGGCTGGGGGCCGTTGCCTTTTCTGGCAGATCACCCTGCGATGCATTCGTTCGAGTAGTCAGAGCCGCGTTGCATCGGGTCGTTGCGATCTTCGGACGCGTTTTCAGCGAGTCGCACATGCCCCTTGACAGGAAATTCAGGGCGCGAGCGCAGGACGTGGCTCAGCGCCGCGGCTGTCGCGCAACAGAGCAACAGCACGCTATTGAAAGGCGCGCTTCTTTTTGCAGTGGTTCCTTCAAAGTAGTAGCGTAGGTTTTCTTTGCCAAGTAAACAAATGCTCAGGCCCATCAGCGCCGCCAGCTCCGCGGCGCGCCCGGCCCGACTGCTGCGGTCGGCGGCCCGAAAGCGGGAGTTCAACCATCGCCGCCCGCGCATTGCTCACCGCGCGGTGCACTCCACTGTCGAGCTCGCGCGCAAGCGAGCTCTCGAGCGCGATTATCGCAGCAGCACGACACACAGGCAGCATTCGGCGCAAGTACTTTGGGACTTCTCTAATTGACACGAGCACATGAACAGGGGGCGCATCGCCCAGCGCATTGCCGCATCTAGTTATCCCTTCTGTCTCCTCCCCTTCGCATTATCCTCGTTTTGCATGGTAGTCCTCGGTACGTTGCTCTACATGGTGCGCGCGCGGGTGTTGTCAAAGCTTGGAGGGGTCAGGTTGCCGGGCGTGCATGTGCACGTGTTTGCCCCCTAGATCAGTGGGCCAGCATGCGCGCGCATCCGCCACGCCACGTTCATTGATGATATCAGTTCGCAGCGCCGCGCCAAGAGCTACGACATGGTCGTCAGCCGGTTGAAGGTCGCAGCCCGCTCGCTTGCCAGTTGCATCACGCACGAGCTCAAGTGCCTGGTTGCCACCAAGAAGAGCCAAGTTCTTGCCTCCAGCCAGGACCTCCAAAACAAGCTTCGCAAGACCTTGCGAGAGCTTACGGGGCACTCCACCGACAACTCTGGAACCAACCTCGGCATCGAGAGCGGGGCTGGACGCGACGGCCCCAGAGGGGGCGGAGGAAGGACAGGAAACCTTCGGAACGCACCCAGGAGATCAAGACACGCATGGCCCGCATTAAGATGATCAAGCATGCTGGCGGAGATTGCAAGAAGCCCCATAATACAGGCCCCGTTGCAGCCACCTACTTCCGGCGTCGAAGTCACGGGCGTCAGCCATTCTTCGCCGGGGCAGGTCGTGCAGCAGAACCCTCGCCCACCTCATCTTCCAAGACCCTCTGTGCAAAGCTGGTCTTGGCCCCGCCCTCCCCTGGCGCCGTCTGGTTTGGGGCGCCCGCGCCAACTCCTCCACGGCCGCGGTCAGTCTCTGCGCTTCTGGGTGGGCTCGATTATTCCGCGGGCGGCCGCGTCGCGGGGTTCTTGCACGGAGCCCCCCTGCGCCGCCGTGCGTCTTTCAACAGGCTCGGCTGGGCCATGCAAGGCCCGCTTAGATCTGCGACCCCCGCGGGCTTTGTGCACCATCTCCTGGGAACACCCAGCCCACGTGGCCGGCCGGCGGAACGCTTTGCCAGACATGGTTTTCTTGCTGATGCGTGTCAGGCGGCAGCTGTGCGAGCAGTGTTTCGTGCGCCTGACATGTCAAAGCAGCAGAATGGCCCCCTCCTCGCTTTCGCCATCCAGAGCATATGGACTGACTATGGAGAGGTCGCGCCACAATGTCAAGGCTGCCCATGTGGACACCACGCCGACGAGCTCCGACACCGCTTCCTCGAATGCTCTAAGACGGAAGAGGCTAGATCCGCATTCAGATGTGAGCAGCGTCTCAGGTTGCGAGGGCCCATTCCCGCCTCCTCCCCCCTCCACATCGGGCCCCAGTTTGTGCCCAATGTCGTGGGCAACCCTCCTGACGGCACTGGGCTGGGGTCGGGGGTCTTCTTCTGGCGCTTGCAACCTGCTCTAACGCCTGGGGTAGCTTGTAGGGGAGATATGCGCCTCTCACGCTCTCCACTGACTTAATGCAGTAGGTAATTTACGCGATTGTCCACATGCGTAACGAAGTTGAGTTTGCCACATTCAGTGGTCGCGAAGGTAAATGATGCCCCCAAACCTCGGGGGCAGCGGAAACGTCGCCGCTCTCGCGGCTTGCTGCTGGCCCCCCAAAGCCTGACACCACCTATACATAGTATGTTCCATTCATGGCTGCATGGCGATTCCCAGCGTCTCAGGAAGGGCAGGTGGGCTGGTTTCAAGGTGCTGGCAGGCGGCGGAGTGGCCCGCCCCTGCGACAAGCTATCCATTATCAAAGCCCATCACGCTCTGTCGGATCTGATGGTAGGCAATGAAGAATACTGCATTGCGAGCGGCAACGATGCCGCCTACAGAATCGCCAAGGCAGCATCGAAGCATGGCGGCCAACCCAGCACTTATGAAGCAGAGCAGTATATCAGCGACACTGCTCTGCTGAAGAATTACCTCAGATACGCAGCCAGTACTCTGGGTGAGTGGCCAGCTATCGCGCCCAGACGCAACAAGGCTCCGGCTAAACCTGCGAGGAGCCTTTCCCCACCCCCGAGCGCCCCCCCCGCCTTGGCCTCCTGGGACCTTGCCAGCCCTTCCTCGGTCCCTGGCCCTGTGCCTCCTCCTCCTCCTCCTCCTCCTCCTCCTCCTCCTACTCCTACTCCTACTCCTACTCCTACTCCTTCTCCGCACCACCCCCTCCGCGGGCATTCCTGAAGCCCGCAGGCCCCACGCGTGGACGAGGGTGCGAGGCCAACGCCGCTGCACCACATGTCGCACCAGAGTTCGTTTGCTCAAGCAATAGAGAGAGCGAGCGGAGAAGTTGGACTGTCCAGGCCACTGTTCTGCCCTCTCGAATCTAGTTGATGACACGCGTCACCACGACCTGTAGTATTACGAACAGTTCGATGAGCCAGCGAGTTTCGATGTGGCTCTTTCGAAGAGAGCGGCCCCCCGTGGACGGCAAGGACAATGCAAGACGAAGCCGCCCCACCATGGAGCCAACTTGTAATTGCAGAGAGCACATCCGGCCCGTCACCCCAAGAGTGACGCAAATTGCGCAGTCGTGATCAGTTTGCCGCTTGACCCGTTGACCTAGGTAGTGAGCGAGGCTCACAGCGGGCAGGGCGGCTAGGGGTAGCCGTCAGGTGGTACAAATTCATTCCTCCAACCACGTGCTGGTCCTCCTCCTTCTCCTCCTCATCCGCTTCCTCCTTCTCATCCTCCTCTTCCTCCTCCTCCTCCTCTTCCTGTCCCTTCTCCTCCCTCCGCCTCCTCCTCCTCCTCGCGACCTACTCCTCCTTTTCCTCCTCCTCCTCCTCGTCCTCGTCCTCCTCTTCATCCTCCTCTTCCACTTCCTCCTCCTCTACCTCATCTTTCTCCTCCTCTTCTTCCTCCTCCTTCCTCCTCCTCCTCCCTCGCCTCCTCCTCCTCTCCTCCTCCTCCTCCTGCTCCTGCTTCTCCTCCTGCTCCTCTTCCTTCTCGTCCTCCTCCCCTCCTCCTCCTCCTCCTCCTCCTTCTCCTCTTCCTTCCTCCTCCTCCTCCTCCTCCTCCTCCTCTCCTCGTCTCCTCCTCCTCCTCCTCCTTCTTCTTCATCCTCCTCCTCCTCCCCCCTCCTCCTCTCTCCTCCTCCTCCTCCTCCTCCTCCTCCTCCTCCTCCTCCTCCTCCTTCCTCCTCCTCCTCCCTCCTCCTCCTCTGCTCCTGCTTCTCCTCCTCCTCCTCCTCCTCCTCCTCTCCTCTCCTCCTCCTCCTCCCTCTCTCCTCCTCCTCCTCCTCCTCCTCCTCCTCCTCCCCGTCCTCCCTGACCCTTCTCCCCCGACCCAACGCTGCCCAAGCGTTCGGGAGAGGTGGCCCCCCAGGAGATGAAGGAGGAAAGGATGCAGCAACCGCATGGTTCAGACTGTCACGTTGCGGGCCCCTCGATGATTGGCGCGACGGCACCCCCAGGAGTTCACCCAGAACTACGGGATGGATGGCTGAGGGCAGAAAGGCTGACGTTCCGACGGCGCCGTTGGCAGCTCGATGTTCAGCCTAGCTTTGTTTGTTCCTTTGCGGCGGGGGGGGCACGAAGAGACGAAAAAGGGGGAAGAAGAAAAGGACGGGTAGACAGGGAGGGCCACAGAGAGACTGGAGAGGACCAGGTGAAGGACGGGGAGGGCCACAGAGAGACGGATGAGGGGGGAGAACGGAGAAGGAGGAAGGGGGAGGGGAAGGGGGGATAGGAAGAGAAGGGAACGCAAGGGAAGCGCAGGAGATCCAGCACCTTCGGCCACTCCCCCTCGCCATCCCCCTCCCTCCCTACCTCTCCCTCCCTCTCCCCCGCCCCGCCCCACTCGTCCCACCTCCTCCTCCCCCTTCCCCTCATCGAAGCGAGCGCGAGAGATGTAGAAACAAAAAGAGAGAAGGGGAGAGAGAGAGAGAGAGAAGAATATAGAGAGAGAGAAGACAAAAAAGAAGGAGAACAAAAAAAAAAAAAAAAAAAAAAAAAAAAAAAACGCGGTGCGGCTAGAGGCACCTCAGATCGAACCAAGAGGAGACAGGAGGAGGCAAGGGGGGAGGGCGGCACGGAGAAAGGCAGGGGGGCACGGGGAAAGTAGCCCATCGCTGTGCTCTGCCCTTCCTGTTCCCCGCCCGGCGCACGCACACGCCGGTGGCGCCAGAGAGCGGGTGGGCCGCAGTCGTAGCTTCACGACGGGCAGCCGGCAGTCTCGCCCCTGTCCCTCTCTGCCTCCCACCTTCGTGAAGGGAGGGATGACAGGAGGAGGGAGGAGAGAGAGAGAGAGAAACAACAACAAAAAATGGATGGAGGAGGGGGGAAGGACAGCAGAAGCAGGGAGAAGGCGGGGCAGAGAGAGAGAGAGTGAGACGGGAAGAGAGAGAGAGAGAGAGAGAGATGGTAACCAGTTAATTCTGCAGAACTATATGGAGGGGAAAACAAAGTGGAGGGGGAGGAGGAGGAGGAGAAGGAGGGAGCAGCATCAGCAGAGAGGGATGGGAGAGAGGAGAAGCCGCAGCAGGAAGGGAGGGAGGAGTACGGGGGAGGTGGACATGAATCAGGGAAGCAGGAGGAGGAGGAGGAGGAGGAGGAGGGGGGGAGGAGTTGTCTGGACGTGTGATCGTTGCTAGACACTGGCGCACATGACAGCGCACAGAGCGAGCTGTATGCTAGCAGGGCGATCGCCGAGGGCGCAGTCCCCAGGCTTGACACGCACGACGTCTCCTCGACCCGGTGCGCACAGTCCCGCGTGGCACATGCAGACAGGCCGCCCCGACAGGAGCACGTCACCCGACTCCATGCGACGGGCAGCGGTGTCTCGCGAGCGGGGGCCGTTGGACACGCTGCTGATCTGGCGCTCCGCGCTGGGCCTTCACACTGAATGTATAGAAGATCCGGAAGGCGGAACAGAATGGAGGGTACAAGTTGGCGCTTCGCGTGCGAATTCATGTCAAGAATGGATTCGCCCAGGTGCAGAAAGGGGTGCGAGCCCATATAGAGAATAGTATCGAAGACACCTGGGGCGAATAATCGTCGATCCCTGTCTTCGGGAAGCACCTATGTGGCCAAACGTCGGGGCGAAGTTTTGCCAAGCTACTTGGCTACGTGTTCCCCCAGCCGTTGTGGAAACCCTTGAGGAAACACGTGCGGGAGGCAGAGAGGCAGAGAAAGGAGGAGGAACACGATGCCTCTCAGGGGGCCTCTGAGGCTCTGGTTTGGGGCCTGTTGTGGGGGTCCATGGACTTGAGGCCTCTAGGGCTCTCTTGGGCTTCGGAGGCCGTCTTGGGGGCCCCTCTGGGCCGTCGTGGGGGCCGCCTTTGGCGCTTTAGGGCAGTCTTGGAGGTCTGTGGGGTTGTCTTGGCGCCCTCCTGGAGGCCTCTTGGGTCGTCTTCGGGGGGCCGTCTTGGGGCCCTCTTGGGGGCTTGTGGGGCCGTAGTTGGGCTATCTTGGAGGCCTGTGGCGCCGTCTTCGGATGTTGGCAGCTCGAAAATGCGAGAACGCGAAAATTATTGAAGCACTTAAAGGAAATCTATGATTTTGTCCTCCTGGAGGCCTCTAGGACCGTTTCGGAGGCATCTTGTGGACCTCTTGGGCAGTCTTGGAGTCAGATTGAGCTGACTTTGTGTCATCTTATCCGTCTTGGAGGCCGTCTTGAGTACTTTACCGTTTGGGAGGCCGCCTTGGAGGCCATTTTGGGTCCGTGTTGGGCGGCAAGCCTTGCGGAGTCTGTACACTTGTTTCTGGGTGGCCGGCAGGCTGCCGGAGGGGACATGCAAAAAATTGAACAGTCAAATGTCCGGCACGGCAGGCACCCCTCTGATAAATCAACCAGGGGCGGCGGGTCCAGTAGCCGTCGGCCCATCCCGCCACCGTGCCTAGGCTGCAGGTCAGAGGCCTCTGGTATGCATGCGGGGATCTCTTAGGGAGGCCTCTCGGAAGCCTCTTGGAGGCGGTTTGGGAGTGTCTTGGGGCTCTTCAGAACCTCCTGGGGCCTTGCTGGCGGTCTCAGGGGTCATCTTGGGACGGAGAGCGCGAAATGTCAGTTCGAGTTCCCCATTTTGGGGGCCTCTTGGTTCCCTATTAGGCCTATTAGGCCATACCAAGAGGTCGCCTTGGGCCCCTCTTGGGCTGTCCGGGGGCCCTCCTGGAGGCCTCTTGGGCGATAGTGGTGGCCCCGTGGGCCGTCTTTGAGCGTCGGAAACCCGAAAATGCGAGAACGCTAAAATCATTAAAAATGATGTTGGTCTCTCGAGTCCGTTTTGGGCCTTTTAAGCACTCCTGTGACTTTTGGGGGCTTCTTGGGCTTTCTGGAGGGCATCGTGGGCTGTCTTGGAGACTTCTGGGGCTGTCTCGGGGCGCTCTTGGACCCTCTTGGGTGCTTCTCAAGAACCCTTGGTTCCTCGGTGCCAGAGGCCCACGCGACCACGCCCGGGAGCGCCCAAGAATGCCGGGAATCTCGTGGTCTGGGCCTTGAAGACTTCTACAACGCCTCCATCCACAGTTCACCGCATTGCATGAGTCTTCGGGCACTCCACTACGTGTTGAAGGCACGGTGCCGAATGCTCGTTCACGCTTCACCAGCCCATCCAAAAAATCTGCAGGTGAGGTGCTTTGATGAGGGATGTGTAGCAGCGACGGCGACGAGGACGACGACGATGACGATTGGAGTAATCCATGAAGGCAGTTGGAGGTCTTTGGCTCTGGGAGCCTCGTGGAGGCCTCTTGGGGTCATCTTGGAGCTGTTTTGGTGCAATTATGGAGGCCCTCGTGGAGCCCTCTTGGGGGTCTCTCAGGTCCCTCTTGAAGGCCTTGGAGGCCCTCTTGGGGCCATCTTGGAGGCCATCGATCAAAGGAGGGGGTGTTCGTAATGTCAGTTCCCTCGTCGGGGCCCGAAGCATCGCCTTTGGAGGCCCTCTGGGGCCGCTCTTGGGGCGATCTTGGGAGCTCTTGGGGCCGTCTTGGAGCCTCTTGGACCCCTCTTTGGGATCTCGTGGGCCATCTTGAATCCATCTACAGACCTCAGAGGCCCATCGGAAGCGAAAACTTGAGAAGACACACCACATTGCTTTGCCTGAGATGTTGTAAGGATGTTGGCCTCTCGGGGTCATCCTTGAGGCTCCGTGGCTACTTCGGGCCGCCTCGGGGCAACATTCAGGCATCTTTCGAGGTATGTCGGAGGCTATAGTGAGCCATCTTGGAGGCCATCTTGGGCTATCTGGGGCCCTCTTGAAACCAGCTTGGGCCAAACATGACCCCTTTCACGTCGCGAAACCCACTTTCAGACCTAGGGGCAGGGGGTAGGGAGAGTGGTCAAGACACCTCTCCCAGGCGCAAACTGTTTAGCTCACTCCCACCCACCCTCCCAACATAGAATCAGCACACGAGTCTCAGCAGATTCAGCGCTCGTCTTTGGATGAACAGCTAGTCGGAACCAACATAGACCCCACGTGCGCAACGCTGGGGCGAGGTTCGCCACACGTGCTTGGTGCGCCAGTTGCGCTATGTCGGGACACATGCCTGCCCCCACAATCGTTGTCGAAAACCACGATGTCTGGCGGGCATGCACACAGCAGGCAATATGCCAGCACCTCCGCCGTCCCTGTCAACAACCATGCAACATAATCGCAGGGTGCCCACGCATGATCCAGAGTCAGTTGCCAAGTGGTGGCCTTGCGCACAGCGGGCCAAATGCTGGCACCCTCTCCGACACTTTGAAAACAACGCAGCACAACGTGCTCGCGGGGCCCACGGGCATGACCCAAGACTCTGCGCAAAGTGAATTCCGCGTTGCTCTTTCGACAGGGATGGCGGGGGTGGCGCCTGATTGGCCCTGGTTTGTCGTTGGTCGGGTGGGGGGGGGATATTGCTAAGGAGCAGTGGTGAGCCCCTCTCCGAAGGGGAGAAGGGGAGTTGGAAGGGGAGGCTCGCTAAACCACGTGACTCCCTAAAGGGCTGGTTGGTGTGAAAAGGCCAGACTAAGCCTGCCTCCCCGCCACCCGTCACCCAAAAGGGGGTAGTCGTTCAGGGTGCAGCCCAATGCTCGCCCACTAGCAGTGGCTTGGCACCTGGCTGCCCACTTCGGCGCACATGTCCCCGGGGCGCGCGGCACCTTCTTGAGCGTTGTTGCCGATGATCGAGTGCGTGCCCGCGCCGCGCACCAGTGCGTCTTCGTGCAGCCCCTCCCACCGTCACGCTGCCTGCTTTTGGCCAGGGCTGCCCCTGCTCACCATCCCGCTGTGGCCTTCCGACCCCTCGCGCTGGGTAGATCGCCGCCGCTGGACTGAGCCACAGCATCGAAAGCGATGGTCAGCCAAAAGCGCATGCGCCCACGTCGCTCCGCAGCATCCCGTCTGTGCGGGAAGGATAGGGTTCGGGACCAAGCTCCTTGAGTACTCGGGAGCGTTTGCCCGACTTAGCCAGGGCCGCAGTTTCTCAGTGTTCTCCCTCACTCCTTTTTGGTCAAACTCCGCCTAAATGTCCTTCCTCCCTTTCCCGCCTCGCATCTTCCTCCTCGTGCATCCTCGTTCTCATCCTCCTCCCTCCCATCCCCCCTCCTGACCTCCTCCTCACGCTCTCCCATCCTCCCCCATCCATTTACTCCCCTTCTACATCGCCTCGCCCCCTTTTTCATCCTTGTTGTCGTCCATCTCCCTCCCTCCTCCATGTCCTGGCCTTCCTGCCCTCATCATCTTAATCCTCTTCGCTCTCTCGCCCCCTCCCTTATCACTTCCCCAGCATTCCTCCAACTCTTCACTCCTCCTGGGAGGTCTTGGTGGCGCTGCGGTTTTCGTATACCTGGCAGGGCTCTGACCCCGAAGAGGCGATGCTGGTCAAATGGGAGGTAAAGTACATGAGCGAAGTCAGAACGCACCGACCTTATAGAGACCCAAATAGCGAGCCACCAAGAGACCCCAATAAAGACCTCCTCTGGCTGCCAAGATCTGTCAAGTCCATGTCTGGTGTATGTGATTTCCTTCTTCACGTGTTTCTACTTGGCATGGTTTCGGGGGCGCTTCCGGGGGGGCGGCAAGAGAGCCCAACAACGCCAACAAGATGCGTCAATACGACCCCCGAACGCCCCAACAGGGCCCCAAGACGGCCGAAGAGAGTCTGCGGAGGGAAGCGTGATGGCACTGAAACCGAAACCGAAAGTGTTAATGTATTCAGCGTATCGTCGTTACGCAATGTGGAAAATCATGTCTTCCACATTTTTTCCCAACCATCCTGGGTCCTCGTTTTGAAGAGACGGTCCCCGCGTTCCTTCCTTCGTTCCTTCCTTCCTTCCTCCTCGCCCTCCTCCCTCCTCCCATCCCTGCCTCTGCCCTGCGCATGTCCTCGTCGTCGTCATCATCCATCAGCATCATCATCGTCATCGACATGTCATCGTCATCATCATCATCATAAACGTCATGGACACCACCGTTATCGTCACCATCATCGCCACCAATTTCGCCACACCCCTTACACGTTTCGTGGCCCCATATCGAGCTCCACCGAAGGCCTGAAAGGCGGTGTTCGCATGCGTCTCCCCCACCCAGCACACGGTTTCGCGGCCCCATAGGAGCCCCACCTAAGGCCCCAGTGGCGGTGTTCCCATGCGTCTCCCCCACCCAGCACAGGGTTTCGCGGCCTCATAGGGAGATCCACCTAAGGCCCCAGCGGCGGTGTTCGCATGCGTCTCCTCCACCCGGTACGGCGCTCCGTGGCCCCATAGTGAGCCCCACCTTCGGCTCCAGTGGCGGTGTTCGCATCCGTCCCCCCAACCCAGGACAGCGCTTCGTGGCCCCACAGGGAGCTCGATTCATCAACCTGTTTGAGTTTCTCTCTGGTGTGATTGAAACTTCTTGGGCCGTCTTGGGCGGTCGCCAACCGACACAGGCGATAACCCCATTTGCATGGGGGAGTAAGGATGGGGAGACAAGGAGGAAAAACTAACAATTGGGGTAATTGAACATTGGCTTCAATAGTTGAACATTGGTTTCAATAATTGCAAGCAGTTTCAATGATTACAACACTTGTTTCAGTAACCACGATCACGGGTTTCAATATCTACGCGCATGTATTTCAGTAATTACGAACACAGGCTTCATCCTTACAACACTGGTTTCAGTAACTACGACAGTGTGTGCACTAACAGCGAACTTTCGGTTTCTATAGCTATATACATCTGTTTAAATATCCCTCGGCAGCTCGTTTGAATTATTTGTTTGTCTGGTTGCTCTTTTGTCATTTGTTTTCTCCCGGCATCTTTCCTAGTGCCTTGTTTGTGTGTTCTTGGTTTGCCTTTTTTCTCGTACATTGTCTTTCTGGGCGTTGTTTGTTCCCTTGTGTCGGATCATGCCGGGACTGTGCCGTTGTTTTGTTCCCCTCATTTCTTCGATTCGTCTTCGTCCTCCCCCCCGTGTTCCTCCTCTGCCTTCTCCTTGTCTTTTTCCTCTTCCTCTTTGTCCTCCTCTCTGCACTGCAGGTTTGTCGCCTCGCACGCGGTCGCCCGCAAAGGCGGCCAGGCGCGGCCATCTAAACACGATTTGCATTCATGACCGCGAAGTTCAACGATCCCCGCCGATTTAGCTCAGCCCACCACGGATCGATGGCACCAGAAATTCGGGAAATCTAGACAACAACAACATTATAAATTGCGGGGCCGTGAATAATCATTTTCATATACTACGTGTTCCTGGTGTCCGAAATCATACGCGACAGATAAACAATGTTGTTCACAAAATTTCCGATCGGCATAAACGCGGCACGGGTTGTTTCAAAAAAGCAATGTTATGATACATGTCCGAGGGTGTGGCGCAGTATTGCACTTATTGTGCGCAAGAACAAACATTAGTACAAATGATTGTAGGTGATAAAGTTTGGAATTATTAAGAGTTTCTGTTTTTCCCTTATTGTCAGTATCTCCCCGCCAAACAATGCCAGGACAATGCTAAAACTATCAAAATATTAATACCTCTTGCACCTTATTACGCGTTGGATGTAGCTTCGAATCGGATATTTCTCAAAATATTCACTTCCCCAGTGTGGCCACCGCCGTCGGCTCATTCCGCATGGTTATTGTTGGTATACACGCTGCTCTCCCTAAGCAATGCCGACGCGATGAAACGTTTTCTGAGTTCCAACCCTGGAGTAAGTGATGCAAAGTATGAAGACATTTGACACATGGCATCGACGAACGGCATCGACGATGCAAAGACTAAAAATCGGTTGATGTTAGTTTTATACATTTATATATATATACATATATATATATATATATATATATGTATACCTCTTCCTATATGTTTATAAGCCCGGGCGGGGGGAAAACCCATCCCCCCCAGAAAAACCGGACTCCCAGGACCTCGGGCTCTGGGGCCCTCCGGACTGGCCTCGAAGCGGCCAACGGGCCTCGCAAGGCGTTTTGCCAAGCCTTCCAGCACACTTAGGGCGATCAGGGGGGTCATCGGAGACGTCCCAGAGACCCCCAAGACAGCACAAGAGTGCTCCAGACCTCAAGATGGCCCAAGAGGCCTCCAGGACGGCCCTGAAGAGGCCTCCAAGAGCACTCCCAAGAAGGCCTCCCGAGGCAAGAATCATTGATTTTCTGTGGGTTATTGGTGAAGTTTGGGGTTCTCCTCTTTTCGGCTTCTTGACGCTCCAAGACAGCGGTCTTCTGGGCGTCCGAAGCCGCCTGAGAGGCCCTCAGAGAGCCCCATGGCGCCCAAAATGGCACAAAGACACCCTCCGAAGAATTCCAAATCGTGTTACGATCGTTCAGGGAGACAGCGGTTGGAGGCAGGGTGGCCCGAGGAAGCCCCCAGAGGCACCCAGAATACATTCAGGAGGCCTCCAGAAGGCGTTAAGAAAGCCTGAAACAATTTTTGTGAGGCCTTGAATGCTCTCCACGGAGGAGCCTCCGTAAAAAGAGCTGAGGAGGATGGGGAAAATACGCAGGGTATGGCGAAAATAAGGAAGAATAAGCATGGAGGAAGGATAACGAATAACATCATTATAGCGGCGATGCCAGAAAAGGCAACCAGGAGTTATCGCTAAATTGTCAGTTTGATCTTCTTGCCATTCCGCCTGTATACCAAATTTCGAGGACCAAGGTGCTATATATATATATATATATATATGTATATATATATATGTGTGTGTGCATATATATATATATAATTTAATTTAATTTAATATAATATATATATATACATACATATATATATATATATATATATATTCTTATATGTTTTATAAGCCCAGGCGAGGGGAAAACCCATCACCTCCCTCCCCAAAATCGGACTCCTGGGACCTGGAGCTTTGGGGCGTTCCGGACGGGGCTCGAAGCGGCCACCCGGCCTCGCAAGGCGTTTTGCCAAGCCTTCCCAGCACATTTAGGGTGATCACGGTGGTCATCGGAGACGTCCCAAAGACCCCCAAGACAGCACAAGAGCGCTGCAAGAGTGACCGACGTGACCTCAAGATGGCCCAAGAGGCCTCCAGGACGGCCCCGACGAGGCCTCCAAGAGCATTCCCCCGAAGGCCTCCCGAGGCAAAAATTCTCTTCTTTTCGGCTTCCCGACGCTCCAAGACAGCGGTCTTCTGGGCGTCCGAAGCCGCCTGAGAGGCCCTCAGAGAGCCCCATGGCGCCCAAAATGGCACAAAGACACCCTCCGAAGAATTCCAAATCGTGTTACGATCGTTCAGGGAGACAGCGGTTGGAGGCAGGGTGGCCCGAGGAAGCCCCAGAGGCACCCAGAATACATTCAGGAGGCCTCCAGAAGGCGTTAAGAAAGCTTGAAACAATTTTTGTGAGGCCTTGAATGCTCTCCACGGAAGAGCCTCCGCTAAAAGAGCTGAGGAGGATGGGGAAAATGCGCAGGGTAAGGCGAAAATAAGGAAGAATAAGCATGGAGGAAGGATAACGAATAACATCATTATAGCGGCGATGCCAGAAAAGGCAACCAGGAGTTATCGCTAAATTGTTAGTTTGATCTTCTTGCCATTCCGCCTGTATTCCAAACTTCGAGGACCAAGGTGCTATATATATATATATATATATTATATATATAATATATATATATATATATATATATATATATATATATATATATATATATATATATTATGTATGTGTGTATATGTATGTATGTATATATATATAATTCTTCTTATATGTTTTATAAGCCCAGGCGAAGGGAAAACCCATAACCCCCTTTTCCCAAAATCAGACTGTTGGGACCTAGAGTTTTGGGGCGTTCCGGACGGGGCTCGAAGCGGCCACCCGGCCTCGCAAGGCGTTTTGCCAAGGTGCATGGCGCGAAGCGCCACTGC